CCCCAAAACCCCAAAACCCCAAAACCCCAAAACCCCTTACATAGCTTATAGCTGTGAAAAAATGGAGATATTATTTTATTTTAGCATTTATCAAGTAAGTAAGCTTTAATGAAGCTTTAATCACTCAAGCCTCGCTTTTGCATTCTCCTATGGCCAGGATATAGTTGTAGAGATTCTTCATCTTGCTATGTTGACACTGAGAAGGATTGTTTGCCAGAAAATAATATCTGTTATAGCCTAGATGAGTTTGGAAACACAGAATCGTAAAGATGACAATAACGAGTAAGTGCTTATTTTTATCTTAAATTTACACTACAACAGGTTTTGACAAATGGTAACATTTCAAAGAATTGTCCGAAGATTTATAGAATTCTTAGAGTACTAAGAGTACAACTTATATAGAAATTTAATGTGACGTTACATTTCATTCTCTCATCAGTAATTTAGGAATATTAAAGAAGACCTTGAAAATTCTGAGAGCAAACTTGACTTTGAAGAGCTACCAGAGGACCCTCGCTCTTCCTTCTTCCATCCAGAGAAAGAAGATAAGAAGATGAAAGGTGCTGATCCTCCTGACACTTCAAGAGTTTTCCCGAAGCTTAGCCAAGACATTGTCAGAAAAAGAGCTAAGAAGGATGATAAAAAAGACTTCTTAACTCGCTTAGTCAAGCCATCCCAGAACAGGCTTACTAATGCAATGAAATCTCTAGTCGCGAAGAAAATAGTTGAGCGTGAGGAGTACGAAATAGTATTTAGCCTATCAAGAACAGTAAAGATGTTTATCTACCATACTCTGTTCTACTTCATCGGTATTTTTGCAACACTGCTGATCTTAATTATTGAAGGATACCAGTTTACTAAATAATCTTGGATTCATTGGAATGCATTTGAGGTTCATCATCATGCAGTACTCCACCCAAGTGATGTTCATAGGTTTTATCGTACTAGTGGCCGTACTTCCTATGAAAAGTATAAGCCAGTTTGAGTCTTATTTCTTCATTATGCTTATGGTCCTCAGAAGCTTCATTGTAGCAGTCAGGTACGGCTTCATCTCAAACTCGAGGTACAAGTTGTATAAATCACCAGTGAAGTTATTCTGGATTACTTCTGATTTCCTGCTCTTGGGATGGCTCAAGATGTCTCCAAAGATCATCCATGAACAAATTGATGCGGCTAAATACAGACTTCAAATTCAAAAACGAGAATGGAAGTTTACGTTCATTACTCCACTTGCAACAGACATTCATCAAAGATTAATGATTAACGCTAAGGACTCCAAGGATGCTTTTGAGAAGATTGATAAGGAATTTGCTTCAAAGATGATAACAGCTGACATCTTTCCAAAAAGTGGAGCTAAAACTACTTCTCTTGTAGCCCATGCTTTTGCGAAAATGCCCGAAGAGAATAAAGATTATGCACTCCGAGACACTGATGAGGAAAATGTTGAGATAACTCAGAGCTATGAAGCAGAAGCAATTCTTAGAGAAATGTGTTTGCTAGAGTCTCATGCCCATTCAACACCTATATATTCCTTAATCATTATTATTGCTAGGATTGCTATCCAGATTATATCTCAATTCTACCACAATGGGAAATCTTTCTCGGTGTATTGGTATGAATACTTGTTAACTAGCTGGCTCATCGTTGATATCGTAATAATCTATGGAAGCAACCTCTTATTTATCATCGCTGGGATAATTGATTTCAAAAGAAAATTGTTCTTCATGAAAATTCTCCAGAGTATGATATCTATCCAGAAAAGTAAGGACTTTCAGTATTCGACATACTTTCCAACATTGAATATTCTGAATAAAGAGAACCTGAAATCATGGCTTAAATTACGTTCAGCAAGCTTAGATCTTGGGAAGAAGTTCACATATAGGATCTTTCTATACTGTAGCATCTACTTGAGCGTGTACTTGACATACCTGATATTCTTGTTGATGATTGTGTTCAGAATTATAAAGGCAGATTTAGCCATTGCAGCCTACCTAGCTGGAACATTTGACATAATCGTCATTTTGACTATCCTCTTTCAGATGCTCAGGATGGGCGCCCAAGTTAATGACTATTATGACATACATAAGGGTGAGCTTATAACAATTAAAAAGTTACTCTTTGATGCGAGGGATAATCCCGAAATCTATGTCAACCTCGGTTCCTCAGCTGACCATTCTGATCAACTGCTTGGCAAGATGATCAGGACTATTCCAAGATCATCCACTTCCACTTCCAAATACATAGACGACTGAATAATGTTTATCGAAATAGCAATTCAGGAGCTTGAATATGAGAAGGCTACCAAACCTTTGAAACTGATGGGGCTTACTTGCTCAAATGAGCTACTCACTTCTGTTTATACAGGAATAGCTTCTATCAGCTTCGCTTTAATTCAATATATTTATTCAAGATACTAAGTTTTCAATCTTTCTTAGACCCGAAGGGGTTTTGGGGTTTTGGGGTTTTGGGGTTTTGGGG